CTCAATAACAAGTCTGTATTTTGTTGTCCCATACATGTCAACCTCTTCGGACGTTTACCTGTATAAAAAAAACCTCATAAATTTTGGAAAAAATCCATACAACTCGCACGCAGGGGCGGAGCAAATAAATCTAAGTTTACCATAGTACCTGACACTGTCAAACTTGTTTTTAGGGGTTCAAATAGGGGTGGGTGCGCTTCAACTCGCCTAGGGCACCAAAATGGCTAGAGCCAGCACTGATTAAATATGTAGTACCATACAAATGCAGTTTGTTTGTTACAACTTTATTCTGTCTGAAGGTCATCATGGCCACCAACCGCATTGACATATTGGACTCCGCTTTGCTCAGGCCAGGAAGGATTGACAGGAAGATCGAGTTCCCCCCTCCTAACGAAGAGGTAGTTAAAGTACTTCACATTAACACATTATTTAGTGTGATTATCTTTTTGAACATCKGTACATTTCTGCTGTTAACAGGCCCGTCTGGACATCCTGAAGATCCACTCCAGAAAGATGAACCTGACGCGTGGCATTAACCTGAGGAAGATTGCAGAGCTCATGCCGGGAGCCTCTGGTGCTGAGGTTAAGGTGAGAATTAGCCTTTGATAATTAGAACATGGATGTTAAATCAAAGTGCTTCTAATTAACGTCATACTGTGTTGCAGGGGGTTTGCACAGAGGCAGGGATGTACGCTCTGAGAGAACGGAGAGTTCACGTCACTCAAGAGGACTTTGAGATGGCTGTGGCCAAGGTTAGTTCAACAAATTTGATTAATTTAGTCTTTCCTGGTACTTTCCCTCTAAAACCTTCATTCTGTTCATCAGGTGATGCAGAAAGACAGCGAGAAGAACATGTCTATCAAGAAGCTGTGGAAGTAAAACAGCCCAGCTACATGTGTATATTTTCCTTTGTTTAAGCTTTGTAATTGTTACATAAGTCCATAAATAAATGGTTTCCCCAATAAACACATTCTGATTATTTAACCAGTCAGGTAGCAGCAGTCGGTCTCCAGCAGGTCAGATTTATTTGTTCATTTTACAATGAAACCTTGGAGATTCAACACATTCCATATGGCACTTCACAACACAGGTCTCACAGAAGTGATCAGAACAGCTTCAGAAACTTGCATGCATGTGAAAGCTGTCGTACTACCACTGCAATATGAAAATCTACAGCATCTGTGAGTGCTGTACTTCTGTTTTGCTACAACAGTCTGAAAACACGACAACGATGACACCACTTGGCCACACGTGTGGAATAGTTACATCATGGCAGTAAACACTTGACAGCTCCACAGGTTGCACAGTGGTCCRTTTGGTTCCTGKAACAGGAAGTTCAGTCAACTAGCGCCTCACCCAGCACACAGGCACCCACTGCAACTCCATCTGCACCCGCTCCAGAACGTTCTGAAGCTCTGCTAAGGCACTCAGTGGGTCCTCTTTCACCAAGACATAGTCCACCCAGTGGCCGAAGCACTCGTCCATCCTGTCCGCTGACTGCATCATTTCCTGAAGATCGTCTTCCTAACRAGTTTAGTGAGGGAGAGATTCACTGCTAAACAACCCATTCATTTATACAACTATACACACTTAAAGCACACCAATGATTTGTATTTTACCATTGTGTACTGAACTTATGTATTTGATTAAACAGAAAATACATTTGGTCACTCACCGTGACCCCTGCACTCAGTGAGGAAGAGGAGCCGAAGGGTTTTCTTTGGCTGTCAAACATGCGAGGTCTCACAAAAATGACAAATGGTTTGAACTCAGCTGTTCGTAGCGTCTTCAGAGCCTGGAGGTTGTAGAAATATTTGACAACATGAGTATATTAGGCAATGTAATATTTATACATCAAATTAACTTTGAAACAAATGTAACATAGGTCATATTTAAGGAAGTAGAAACTCAAGTCCTAACAAATTTACAGTTAAAACTCCAAATAATTAGAAAATTTTAACTTCCTGTTACAAATTGGAAGCCTTGTTAGTCCTGATGGTTGATTTATGTGGGTCTAAGGACACAAGACTGAAGAAAAGATCAGTTAGATTTACTAGTTAACTATTGGATAAGGAGTTATTTTATTTTTTTATCTCTTCCTTCCAGTCAGACAACAAAAATCAGTAGGAAAAAATCTAAAAGTAATTACTCCAGTATTGTGACTAATTTGCTCACAATCCATGAAACTTTGTGTCACAAAGTTGTGTTTGTGACACAAAGTAATTATTCCAGTATTGTGACTAATTTGCTCACAATCCATGAAACTTTGTGTCACAAACACAACTTTGAACCTTATTTTTGTCCCTTTGGGCTTGTTTTGGCTGATTTATTTATTTATTTTTTACTTGTTTTCTGGTACAAAATAGATTTTGAGGAGAAATGGTGAATCTCACCTATTGCACAAAAATATGTGTTCTAAACAATTCAACACACTTAGCAAAAGAAAAATCTTATAAATATGACTTTCCAGGTGAAAATAATGAATGAAAATCAAATGTCTATGAACTGATGAAGWAGTAACTTATTTATACTTTAATTTCTTTATCCTGCTGATGTARGTGAATAAACGGCATCTCAGATGGTTATCAACGTTTCCTCTAGATGTCAGTAATTGTTACACTTTGAATTTTTGGTATAATTTGCTGGTTGTGTTGCATATCAGACATAATACTTACCTCTGGTTGAACGTCCACTAAGCAGACCTTGTTCTGATTCAAAACTCTGTGGATGGACTCTAAACTGGTGCCGTACAGATTCTCTTTATACTCCCCAAATTCAATAAACCTGCAGAAATAGCAACAGGATTTATAATAAGCAAACTTTACTGGCTAAAAATAAAATATAAAAGCTTCAATGGATATTTTTGCATTCCTTGTGGAATCAAAGTTAAATAATATTTGGGTATAGTAAACACACAAAAACAACTGATACTGACTTGTCGTTCTGAATATCAGCCTCAAACGCTGCTCTGCTGATGAAGTGGTATTCCACTCCTTCTCTCTCATGACTCTTCCTGGCTCGGGTGGTGTCTTTACAGCACGTTTGAAACAACCAGCAGGAACACAAAGATCAAAGTAAAACACATCCAGAGTTACATTACAATCTACGAAYATAAGACAAACAAAACATTCTCCCTTCTGCTTTTAGCGTAGTTAGAAAAATTAACTTACGAGGCACGGCCAAACCGTATCGTCGAGGATTCTCAGCGATCACTTTCTGTTTCAACTCAGTGACTCGAGCTCCTAATGAACCTGAAACATCAGGATTACCAGAAAGATGAGTTATCCAGCCAGCTGTAACCTCAAACAACTCTTCTGAAACGTGTGTGTGTGCGTGTGCCAACCTATTAGTACTATAAGGCGGGGCCTCTCACCAGGCCGTGGCAAATATTGTGTGACTTCTTCATAAATCAGAAAGTCTGTTTGATTGGCATCTGGAGTTTGTGCTTCAGAACCCTGACGATCTTTCCTGAGGCGGAAACTCCTGCGCAGGCTGGCTGTACAGAAAGGACGAGACCTTTCAAACCATGATAATGCACATTTCTCACACTAATCTATTCAGAAAGCTTTAAAACTGCAATAAAACCTGTGATTGTTCTTAATTATTTTAACTTTTATTTAAAAAAAAAACAATACTGTGTTTGTTGCATAATTATATAAATCACTTTGCCGCTACAGAACCCTGAACTAAAGAAACAGATCAGCTCAGACTTTTCACTGTAGCCAATTAAAATTCAGAATCTTGTGCCAAACATCACACAGAACACACACAGTAAACAACACCATTAGGAACCAGTAAGAGTACCTGAGTAAAAATCCCATGAGAAAGCATGGCCACAGAAGGCAGGGGCTGCCTTACTCTTGGGAGAAACTACATTCATATTAGACCATTTTATTCCACACCTTTTAATCATTAATACAACAAGAGTTCAGAAGCCATGCATACTTGTCTGCACTTCAGACGCAAGCAGCTGAAATTCTGCATGAATTGTTTGTTAGCCAAAAACAATAAGAAGCTATGAGAGGCCACAGAGACACAGAGAGAAGCTGGTGGCTRCAGCAGATGGTTGAACCAAAACTCCTGCTGTGTTACAAGCTGTTAGCTTGAGCCCTGATAGGCTACAGGAAAGAAGTCTGTTCAATAGCTGCCTCCCAAAAAAAGAAGAAAAAAAAAAACACCAATTTGATTTTATAAAAGTCAACTTCACTTGTATCTAAACATTTTGAGATGGAAAACTAAACACTTAGGTCAGTGTATCTTTTGGTCATTGGATTTGCATTTTGGAAACTGGTATTAAAAAACAAGAAACGAGTGGTTATTTGATTTTTGCTGTAAAATATAAGAATTAAAATACAAAGTGTTTCTCATTCTTTGTGTCAAAAAGAGATGAACAAATTTTTTTTAAATGACTTGAGTTTCATTTTCTGTTTCAGATAGTAAAAAAGAAAATTACTTTAAAACAGAAATGAAAAAAAGCCTCATTTGTTTTATATTCCACGACAGGTCATACCAAATTACTGTATCACTAAAATATTTGTTTCACCACCAGAAGGGATGCTCGCAATATCAAAGATATTCAATAAAAATCCCATTACAAGTAAAATGCATTGAAACTGACTTCGGTATCGAATATATTTGACAAGTATTTATTTAGTATCAGATCAATATTAAAGTCGTAGCACCGCCCACCCCTTGCTGAAAGCAACACTCAGAGGATGCAAACTGACAGAAAAAAGCACAGATTTTGTCAAAACTCAGGAGGAAAAAAATCTTTCTGCTTACAGAACAACAACTGTACAACACACTAATAGAATGAAAGTTGTCTTATTTTGCTTTTTATTGAGAGAAATGGAGGTTAAGTGGAGGCAGTAGCCAACATGTATTCAATAAAAGGGACTTATTTGGCCAAAAGCCACAAAAAGTATCTCTGCAAAACCTTTGGTCACAGAGCGACAGTCATCATACAACTCAGTTATGGACAAACACGTCTGTTTTAGCTTTTTATTCACAGAAAATTGTGTTTTATTATGCAGACCCAAGCGCCCCTTCTGGTTAGGGAATAGATAGTCGTAAAATAACAAACAAGCCTTTTTTTTTTTCGTTTCTGTTTTAAAGTTATTTTCTTTTTTGCTCTCTGAAACAGAAAATGAAACTCAAGTCATTTTAAAAATTTTGTTCATCCCTTTTTGACATTATGAGAAATGCTTTGGATTTTAATTTTAATTTCAGTATTTTAAAACAAAAATCAAATAGCCACTCGTTTCTTGTTTTTTAATACCCGTTTCGAAATTGAAAATCCAATAACCAAAGCATACACTGGCCCACTTGCATTACCCTACATTTAAATAAGGTTTTCTTTTAAAGCCTATTTACCTAAGAGCCGTTCAACGCTTTTAAACAAGTTGACCAATTTTYCAGTATCTACAACTAAAATTTGTGCATAAATCAACAATCTCATTCACAAAAGATTATTCTCGTTTCAATCATTTTAAAATCTTTCAAAAATATGAGATGGAAAGGAAGTAAAAATTAAACTAAGTGTGGATCCTGTACATAAATGAGAGCTCTGGTAGAACGAGGAGGTTCTATAGAACAGCTGGAGGGAGTCGAAATCATGTGACTGATTTCCTGTACAAGCTACGATGCTACAAAGTAGAAAAAGTAAGAGTCTAGATTTACAATTACTGTACATGAAAAAGCTGATGTAGGAATCCTATAAACYATCAATAATAACATTAACAAAATTATTATTAATATTTTAGAGTGTATAGCAGCTATCTAATGTATATAAAACTGTCAGAAAGCTGTGCCTTTTATGGATTATGGATTTACCAACAGAAGAGAAACAGGAAAATGCCTCATTTCACAAGTAAACAGATTTTATCTAATGAGCTTCAGCTCTGGTCAGATCACATTGGAGGTAAATAACACAAGTTTAAAATCAAAATAAGCTTATACAGCTGATGTAATCTCTGTTAATTATTGAACTGGTTAGCAGATATGAGCTTCTGTAGTTTTATTGTTATACAAAGTGTAACACTCAGCTAAGTCATGCTACGATTTAGCACAAGTTATTAAAATTACAAGATGGTTTTGCCTATAATTTATGTAATATTTACACAGTGTAAAATAATATTATGTATTTAACTATTATTAGGTTTCTGTTAGACAAACCTGACCTGTTGAGAAGATGGTTAGCCAATAACCAGTGGTTTCTGACAGGTTTATATTTATTAGATAGCTGATATACACTCAAAATATTAATAATAATTTTGTTAATGTTATTATTGATGTTTATAGGATTCCTACATCAGCTTTTTTTCCTCCTCCACGTTTGCTAACAGTGATAGGTCTGGGCTCACTCTAGTGATATTCAAGTCTACAGGTGGAAATGACTGAAGTCCATATAAATTTAATCCCATTTTAAGTTTGTTAAAGACACTAATGAGGTTTTTAAAAAATGTCCACAAACATTCTAAAAAACACTTGGGGACTAATACTTGTTTAATCTTAGCAACAAATTAGTAGCATTGCTTCTATTGACCCCACACTTTGTTTCATGACCCACTGTGGGGTCCTGATCGACAACGGTGACCAATAATTTGTAGACTAAATCAGGCATTTTCTGTCCCAATACCAAAATTTGGACCATTTTTAAAGGTTCATATTTWAAAATGGTAAATGCACAAGTGTAAAGTGGGCCAAGGTTGTACGGTTTTTTAAGATAAATGCCAAGGTTGATATAGGAACACCACTGGAATTGAACAAATTCARCCAGTAAATTTACACTGTTATACAGACCCAAATGTATTTGCTCTAAACCAGGGGTGGGCATCGAGGGCCGCAGCCCTGCATGTTTTACTTGTTACTCTGCTCCAACACACCTGATTTGAATGAATGGTTGATTAACAGGATTCTGCAGAACTTGGAAGAGGTCATTCACTGACTGAATCAGCTGTGTTGGAGCAGGGGAAAAAAGGAAAACATGCAGGGCTGCAGCCCTCCAGGACCAGGATCGCCCACCTCTGCTTTAAACTGATTCATGTTCAACTTTCCAYGCTTTCAAAGCAACCTCGGCATTCTCGGTTAACCTGTGACCTGGAACAGTTAGGCTCCACTAGTTGAAACTAACTAATGGAACTAAGTAAACTAAAGTAAAAACAAATGCAAAGTGGTCCAAACAGAAAGATAAAACGGACTCTAGCTTCACATAACTCCAAGTTTCACAAAAAAATAAAAAATAAAAAATCAAGCTGATTTATGAGTTTTTTTCCAGTGGATAAAACCAACATCACAGAACAAAGCTGTTGGTTTTAACATCATAAAAATAATCTGCAGCCTCTCAAGGAAAGTATGAGTTAAACACACAGCCTGAGCAAACATGATGTGACAGTGATCAACACAGAGACAGAGTTTGTGCTTCCTCACCTACGTCCTTTCCATTCAGAGCACTYTTACTGTCGCAGTCCTCTGTGGGACAACAAGCAGGGAGAGAAGAAAAGGTAAGAGAAGACAGGAGATGGCGGCGGGACTCTGATGCAGGAACACACAGCAGGGGGAGTGGAGTGACAGTGAGGAGGGGTGGGATAGAACTGCAATTGTAAAATCAAAAAAGAAAAATCAACAAAATTTACAAAAGTAAGTCAAATTATGGAAAGACCAGTGAGTGGAATCAGAATGGACTATAGTCAGTTCTGAGAATGAGACATGAGGGTCCATTTACGTACCTCTCTCAGTCCGATCATCTAAAGTCAGCAGTGTGAGAGTAACACAAAACTCTTTTTAAWATGTGTCACATCTACAACTTTAAAGCTTCAGTCTTTTCTGCATGTACCGTTTATGTTGAAGTGTACATGTATTTGATATGTTTATCAAAAAAACTGATTTCAGAAACACTTTGAGCTCAGCCAGTTTCAGGGTTTATCTGGATTCTAACAGGGATCAACTTTGTTTCACCTTTAAACTGTATCCTTTTTTTTTTGCCCAAGATTAAACTCATCTCTTTTTATAATCTCTACTTTCCGTGCCCTTAGATAAATTGGTTTTGAGTAGTTTTGTGATCTAATATTCTTGTTTATATGKGGTTGTAGGTCATATGAGACCATTTGTGTGCTGTAGGTTAAATAAAACTTACATGTAGGAGCTTTGGAGGGGACAGGAGAAGGGCAGGAACCCATTTTCATTCTGTATCTCAGGCGTCTGGAAGGAAAACAACAACTAATGTCATTTTGATAAAAGGCTTTAAATCCCTTCATGGTTTCGTAAGAATAAACCTTACCTCTCCTGAAACTGTGTGGAGGGGATGAGGGCAGCACGCAGGTTGCAGTCACCCACCCTCTTGGCCTGCCACCAGGTGCTGTCCTCCTGGCTCACCACCTGAAGGATGTCTCCCCTCTTAAAAGGAAGTCCAGCTTCTTGGCACGGCGTAGCTTTGTCCTCAAAAGGTGTGTAGTCAAATAGAGCTCGCAGGTAAACCTTTAGAGAGGAGAAATAATCAGAATCTTTTATCTGAACAAACTGGATTGTTTTAATGTAAAAACAACTCTGATGGTTTTATATTACTGATCCTTTATCAAGCCAGTTTTAATCTTCTGTTTAATCTCTTTGCTCTAGTCCTTCTCTACATAAAGACTGTCTAACATTGTTAATGTTGCCAGGGAAATAGCTGACACACAGTAGCACTCTCGTTGTGCAGAAAGTCTGGTCAATATTCTCCTGCTTCTTTTAAAGGAAGGACAGAGATGCTCCCTAAATGCTTTGTTGTTCCATGTGCAAGCAAACTCCATCACTCCTAAGTGTTCAATCTATCAACACTTGGGAGCTTTTCTACTGTTTAAAACTAAAAGTTTTAATATATTCTAAAGTCCTCTTATTTTAACGCACATTTTATACTTAATTTTTGGCACAATAATTACAATCAATTTTCCCTCTCTGAAGAAAAAAACTGAACTTGCAATCAAGAGAACTTAAAAGACTAGAATTATGAAAATACAGACATGTCCTGCAAAAGCCCAGAATATCATAATATGCAACAACAACCTATTTTAAACACTTGTGTTTGTCACAAACAGATAGTTCTAGACCTTTTATGCCTCAGGGCTCACAGTTGTTCTTTCACAACAGTGAAACTGCTTTTCAGTTCGAGCAGCAGGGATGTGGAACTCTTTACCAGTTATTGTTTGAGATTGTACAACTTTACATTTGAAATTTAATGCAGAGAAATGGTTGAAGGATCATCAGGTGTGTGGTCATTTTGCTGTGTAATCTGTAAATGTATTGTTGATCCGATATTTTAGGCATTTTTATTGAATTGCATTTTAAAGATTGTGTTGTGGTCTACTAACGAATGTTTTAACTTGTCATCTCTTTGCCTCTGTCCATGGACCAACAGATGAAAATTAGCTTGAAGCTGTTTCTGGTCTGTACAATAAATGTATTGTGCAATGTCCCAGTTAAATTTTAAAATGAAGATGCAGGAGGTGATACAGTCATCACTTTTTATCTGAGTTATCGCTTCTTGTAATTAAAACTAATTGAACTCTTTTGCTCTCACCCTGCTCTCCTTCAGTTTGTCGTCTTCTGCAACAGCTGGGATGATTTTCAGTGTGATGGAGCCTTGAGACTGAGACTGATGAGAAAAACAAAAACAAAAGAACAGCATGTTTATATATACCATCAGTAACTCCARTCATGCAGAAATATAACTTAACCTGGCAAGTTATTTTCTTCTTACCAGAATCTGACTAATCTCCTCAGGTCTTTTGTGAGTTATCAGGTTCCCGTTAACCTCTCGAAGCTCATCTCCCACATGCACCAGACCTGAACGCAACACAAGCAGAGGAAGACCAGTCAACTGGCCAATGTTTGCCACTGTATTTACTTTAGGAATATAAAGTCTAAAAGGGCAATTGTGTTTTGTTTGAATAAAATATAAAGACACAAATTTGACATTTAAAAAAAATTGGCGTATATCAGCCATCAGCTGCTGTTATTGCTAAAAACACRTGTCTGCCGTAGAAGAACAAACATTGGTCAACTTCTAGACACAAGCAACTAGACCAAAACAAGCTTGCATGTGTGTGTGAATGATGAGTATTTTTTATAAATTTGGCAATGAGACAAAAAATTAATAACTTTCTACTGGCAACAAGTCAACAAAATCTCCAGGGAAACAGCCAGTCATTTGTAATATCAAAATATGCTATTTTGCAGCAGTAATCCAAAGGATTTGATGTCGGATGACAGTTTGGGGGGGGGGCAGTTTAATCTCCTCACTTCTCTGTCCGTGTAGCAGCTTGGATAAGATGGATGTCTGGCATATAAAAGAATGATTATTGCACTTTGTGTCTATAGTGGGTTTAGGAATATTTACATATGCCCCCCYTTGCAGAAGATGTAATCTTCTATGTTCATTTTTTTACCCACTAGCCTAAAAAGGACTGAACTGAATACAATAATATAGAGCAAACACTCACCACTGCGGTCAGCTGCCCCTCCCCTCATAATTCTGGCCACAATCACAGCTCCTGTGGTCTCATCTCTMCGAATAGTTGCTCCCTGTTGAATACAGAGATGCAGCAATAAAGCAGATTTTCAAACACATATATGATTTTCAGCTCAGTGAGCTGAGACAGACCTTAAATAGTCTAGTCAAAGCTGCTGTGTGTGTACTATAGTGATGTTTATTTGCATAAATCAATAGTTTCAATGAAAGTTAATGTCGAAATTAGAGCTGGGCGGTTTACTGGTTCGTACCAAAAACCTGTTTTTATTTTTGTTATATGACTTTTCTGAATACCGACTCAGCGGTTTAAATAGCCTGAACAAGTTCGGAACATCATGTTGTGCCTGCCAGTGAACTGTTTCACGAGGGACACTTTTCCTCRCAGCACCGCTATGCACATTAGCTACAGTAGCTAATGTTATTGTTGGAGCAGCCTTCTCAATAACTGGCAGCAGGTGGCGATTCCGCTGCTTATATTGACAGATGTTTAAAAAAAAAATTTCTCCCGTTTTCACCATCGCTGAATGTTGTTTACACCTCTTCAGGGACGTGCACAGATAGAAGATTTAATGCACGATGTAAATATATGCAGACGTTAATGTGTTTCTGTTGTGAGAAGCCCGAGAGAAGTGGTTTTTGTATCGGGGTTGAGTTGACTGGTGCACGGAGACTCAGTTGTTCTGTTAAGCTTTATTAAATAATATAAAGCAATAGACCCCATAATGATTTTTGCTCAACCCTCCCTCTTCATGACCGTACTAAAAAAAAAAACCACTATCAAATATCGTGAAAAACAATATAAATATAATTGTTGAAAATACTGTGAAATAAAATCTCTATCATACCAACCAGCACTAGTCAAAATGTTACAGTAACAGAAGCTGATATGTAGGACTCAATATTTCTCCAAAGGTTGTGCTTTTACAGGCTGTTCAGACCTACACTGCATATATCCATTTATTTCCAATTTAGTGATCTGAAATCAGCAAAGATCACACTTYGCAAATAAAACGTGTACCTCAAAACATTTTTGTGGCTGAATGTCAATTGCCCACTCTTAATGCAGAAACACAGCTATGTCACACAGAGGGCTGTCAGTGAGCCACAAACAGAACGTCATCTCTTCTCCTGGTGTTTATGTGAAAACTACAATTCATTCAGACACGTGAGAAAGAACAGTCAGAGTTTCCTAGCAACTCTCACCAGCGGCTCCTTGTTCTTAACCAGGCGGACAATCTTCACAGACTCTTCCTCAAAGTCATCGTCTAAATCCTCTGGCAGAGGCGGAAGCACCGGGTCAAACTTCTTCTGGGCCACAATGTCATGAGCTGACAGCACTGCCTGCATGAGGCAAACAGAAACACTAATACTTAAAMATACCAAAGCCTGACCAACAAGACACAACAAGGTAGAAAAAAAWACATAAAGAAAATCCATACAGAGTGTATGTTTTTTCAGTCATTCTTTCCTCCAAGAAAACCTTTCATCTGAACAAAATCCCTTGATCAGAGTAAAGCTGACAGTCTTTACTGCATGCAGGAGATGGAAGAGGGGAGAAACAGCGCTGATCCTGGGGTTATATAATCAACAATCAACTTGGAGGAAAATTAGAGCAGCTCAGAGAGGTTTTACCATCCAGAAGATCAAATAACAGCTAAAATATTACATTTAGCTACAGAAAAGAACAAGGTAACTAAAGACAGACACTGTTCAACATTTGTTTGTACCTTGAGATGAGGAGTGCTCAGCAGGAGGAGGAGTTCTCGCTCATCTTCCTGAAGCGGCCCGTTCTGAAGTTCTTCTGCCAGCTGATAGGCCAACACGAAAGTAACCATCATATTTCTTATTTTAGGGTCCATATGTTGCATTAAAATGATTCTCAGAAAATGAGCTCAGCTCAGCAGGATTTAACGTACGAGTGGAAATGAAACCCGGTTGCACTTACATCTTCTGCCAGACAGGAGGCGCTGTGTAGGACTGGAGTGGGGCTGTACTTCTCATACTGCTTCAGCTTCTCATGGATCTGACATGTTCAACAAATTAACACCAAACAGAAACATGTGGATAAACAACTTACAGCATCAGTACCTTACTGAACTGAGACAAAGGCAGAGTGTGTAAAGGATGAAAACAAATAAGCTTTGTGGGCTGGGGTGTGTGTGTGTGTGTGTGTGTGTGTGTGTGTGTGTGTGTGTGTGTGTGTGTGTG